GGATTGCTGATGGATGCCAAAAACAGTTCTTCTTTCAGAAATCTTAATAAATGATGCCATAACTGTATTACATTTATTCGCAAGATATGGTCCATTATCTTCCATTCTATTGAGTTCATTATTATGTATATTAAGTCCAAGCTAAGTGAAAGCAAACATATAGATTAGACAAAAGTGGCTGATTTATAATGGATACTGCTCTCTGCTCTCCCCGAGACACTGCAGTAACCACTCCACACTACGACATCATTCTACATTTTGTTCCTAAAATACAGGTCATGGTGGGGAGCCTGTGGTGTCCCTCAGTGTGTTCTCTGCACAATGCTGCAGAACACTCCATGATAGGAGTGCCTGCTCATGTTATCTGTTAATGATTTTGTTAAAGTGGTTGTAAATGTTCAAGGTTTTTTACCTTCATGCATTGTATGCATGAAGATGAAAAAAATCTTCTGTGTGCAGCAGCCTCCACCAGCCCCCCCCCCCCCAGTACTTACCTGAGCCCCATCAAGATCCAGCGCTGTGCATGAGAGCCGCAGCTCTGCAGGGACTCTCCCTCCTTATTGGCTCCCACTGCTGCCAATCACAGGCAGTGAGCCAATGAGGACAGGAAAGGGGCAGGGCTGAGCCTCAACTTTGTGTGTGAATGGACACGCAGAGCAACTGCTCAGGAGCAAGCCTGCTTGGGTGCCTCCATAGCAAGCTGCTTGCTCTAGAGGCACTTGGCAGGAGGGCGGGGCTAGGAACCATCAGCGGGGCACCCAAGAAAAGTAGGATCGGGACTTTTCTGTGCAAAACCACTGCACAGAGCAGGTAAGTATAACATGTGTGTTATTTTTTTAATTGTCTTTAATATCTACTTAAATTTTTCATTGCTGTCCATTGAAATGCATGGGGTTTCTTGTGTTGGAGTCCTGAAACAAGCAAAGTGGAAAGCTAGTTTGCTTGCTTTTGCATTGCTTTTAATGTTTTTTTTATTTTTTTGCAAAGCAGCAGTATAACCATGCCACTACTTAATAAAATGGGCTTCTTAGACTTTTTCCCAAACTTGCCTTTGGATTTTTTTTTTGTCTGTAGCATATTTTAGGCTCCCAAGGTGACACTTGGTACCTGCATTTAATGTCCACATTATTGTCTAAACAATAGAAGCAGTCATACTAGAACAACATCACTTCCAATGCAGCCCGAGTAGGACTACTACTGACCATTTGATATCCAAGTGGGTATCTGCTGGCCTCACATGTTGGAGTGATCTGTAAAAAGCTAAATTTTTTTCCAGGGAAGCTCTAAGAAGATCTTTGTTGGTCACTTATTGTCCATGTATGGGTGCCCCAAGACAACACATTACCTGTGCTGTACAATAACGGATAGCAATGATTTTTCGGTAGTACATTATGATTAAAGAAGATTGTAGCCATAAAAACTGGATGGCAGGCAATCTTTAGTCGCTGCTCAGAAATTGATAGATACTGTGAGATTTCAGAGTGATGTGCTCAGGATGGAAAGGAAAGGCAATTTGTATTTTTTTTGGGGAGGTGTACGTGGGACTCTGGCTTTGAAGAATCATTACACTTTTAGATGAGCGATGCCAAGTGAGGCCTGCCGTTGCCATGGCAATTGCTCATTTCTGAATAAATGAGGCAAGGCCTAGTAGATGCAGAGGCACAGCGTGGTGAAATTTATTTGAGTTAGTAGATGGAGTCCGTCTGTGATGTGAAGCTTCAGAGCTGCCTGAAAGGAAGACGAATTAGTGGAGATTCAGCGCTGCAAAACAGAAGAGATGGAATGTATTCCGGTGTGCTAATGTCTCATGCAGTGAGTGCACAGCATTGTGGGATAGGCTTTGGAAGACCATACAATGGAATTCAGACTATACTGATGAGAGCTAAAGAAGTTCTTATTGTCATTGCAGGAGGCAGAATAGATAAACAAGAGCAGAACACCAAACTCACAGCCAATAAAAAGAGGTGTCACTGGTTTGTCTCTCCCAATATTACATTTCTATAGTAGTCAGAACTACTGTTATCGTCAAAAGAGATTTTACAGCTGAATCTATATATGAGTTCACAGTTCATAAACTGTCTGTATTGATCCTCTCCTACGTAACAGCAGTGGGAAATTGGTACTATGTATGTGTGTGTGTGTGTGTGTGTGTCTGTGTCTTATCTGTTCTAAAGCTGAAGTTTAGCCATCAAAAAAATTTCTTTATAGTTTTACTGAACCAACTTACCTGTAATGAACGATGTCCCACGTCCTGCAGGCAAAGTTAAGCATTCATTTTTTAAAAAATATAGAATGATCTTCCTCCTCTTTCAGTTTCTGTTTCTAAAGACACTTACATGACCTTATACACTGTCTGTGCATATTGTGGTCTAGCACTAGTGATACTCCAAAGGCATGCTAAGATTTTTTTGGAATCCTGCCTAAAGCAGCTAAACCAGGGGTCTCCAAACTTTCTAAAGAAAGGGCTAGTTTACTGTCCTTCAGATTTTATAGGGGCCGGACTGTGGCCAGTGGGAGTAGAAAAAGTCCTGGTGCTAGCAGGAGTGAACAATGCCCTGTTTTTGTTATTAGAAAAATAGTATCTAGTCATTGGTGTCAGTGAAATGAATATTGTCCCATCGTTGGTGTCAGTGGGAAAAATAGTGCCCCACCTTTTGTGTCAGTGCGAGGAATAGTGCCCCATTGTTGCTGTCAGTGGAACGAATATTGGCCAACTGTTGGCATTAGTGGGAGGAATAGTGTCCCATCTTTGGTGTTAGTGGGAGGCATTGTGCCCCATTGTTGATGTCACCAGGAGGTATAGTACCCCATTTTTGGTGTCACTGGAAGGAATAGTGAACCATCATTGGTGTCAGTAGGAGGGATTATGTACCATTGTTAATGTCAGTGAAAGGAATTGTGCCCAAGGGCCAGATAAATCTAAGCAAAGGGCTACATCTGGACCCCAGGCAACAGTTTGGAGACCACTGAGCTAAACCATGGCCATTCAAGGAAGTAGGAAGAGCATTGATGATTCCTGAAAGCAGCAACCCGTTATAAACCTCTTTATTGTACATTCAAATTTGGAAAGATTTCTAATTAGTTGGTAAAAGCTGCTACACTTTTCAAAAACATAGGACCTTATATGGTCTTATAACCTTTATTTTATAGGTTTTTGCCACCCAAGCAAATGTATCAGCATATATTTTTTTGTTTCAGCCATTTCTTGCAAGTCTAAAATGTAGCTATTTACTCTTATAGACATGTTGTTCCATGAGCATGGGTGGATGTACTATTAGTACAGACTGGGCAGGTGCAAAAGTGCCCAATGGGACTTTGGGGCCCACTTATGCAAGATGTGGATGGACAGCTATTGGCATTCTCCTGTCAAGTAGAAGTGGGTAACAAGGGCCTAATATTACTTTTGGTATTGAAATATCCAAGTGGTGTTGAGCAGTGTGGATCTACTTTATGTCTTACCTATCTGGTACTGAGACATGTAGAATGCTTCTCCCACTTTTCATGACATGATTTTGACAAAAACTAAAGGGAGACTTCACTGTCTTACCCCATATGATACATGATAGTCTATAAAAGAATTCCAAGTATCGTAAAGTCTTTACATCTATCTATCTACTCTATCTATCTATATGTATCTATGTTTGTACTTGGGCTATACATAAATATGTCCACCTCTGGTCCATGAGGACGATTCCTACCTTTAGGGAGTAAATTCATGGGTTAGTTCACCTTTATAAAAAAATACTATATGCAGTCCACAAACACCATTCCATAAGTATAAACTAATTTTATTTAAAAAAATATGCATTAATGCTATTTGCATACCTGTAGACCATTGCATGGAGTGAAGCCTGTCCCAAATGCTTCTGAGAGTTTTCAAAGCTCCGTCCTGTCCTTTGCTCTAGTGCAGATCAGCCATTAGCACAAGTGCCTCCTAGTGGTACATGAAAGAGAACCATCCTTCTGAGTCCCAAACATGTTCAGCGCTATGTCTCATCACTGTAGATGAAGCACAGCAGCCGCAAAGTTCTCTCTTCCATCACAACTGCTGAGCTCATCAATGTGCAGGGCTTGGAAGAAGTATGGCACTCGCTCCTGTAGTGCTAGGGGGGCACTTGTCCTACTGGTTGGTCTGTCCTAGAAAAGAGGGCAGGGTGGAGCTGTGAAAACTATCAGAAGGTAGGCTACACTACAAATGTCCTATACGTTTAGGAGGAGTATAAGTGCATAGTTTAAAAATCAGGTCAGTTTAGCCTTATGGAATGGTGTTCATTTATTTATTTATTTCAGGTACTTATCTAGCACTGTCAGTTTACGCAGCGCTTTACATATATATTGTACATTCACAATCTAAGGTCCCTAACTGACATTCATACATACTAGAGCCAATTTAGACAAGATACAATACCACTTGCCCTCCAGAGGATCCCCCCCCCCCCTTCCTGACCAGGCACTCTTTTGCGATACGGTGCTGCATTACTTTATCTGACAATTGTGCGGTCATGCAACACTGCACCCAAACTAAATTTATGTCTTTTTTCCCCACAAATGGAGCTTTCTTTTGGTGATATTTGATTGTCTCTGTGCTTTTTATTTTTTGTGCTGTAAAAACAAATTTTTTTTAAAAAAACTATATTTTTGACTCTTTGCTATCAAACATATGCAGTAAAAAAATTTTAAAAATCAAATTTCATCATAAATTTAGACCAAAATGTATTCTGCTACATGTCTTTGCTAAAAAAAAATCCCAATATGTGTCAATTAGTTGGTTAAAGTTATAGCATATACAAATGGTGGTATATATACTGGAATTGTTTTAAAAAAAATTTTTATACTAGTAATGGCGGTGATCAGCGACTTAGAGCGGGACTTTGGGACTGTGGCGGGCATTCTGACACTGGGGCGAACTAGCATCCCACTGACACTAATACAGTGATCAGTGCTAATAAAAAGCAGTGACACTGTACTAATGAAGGGGTTAACATCCGAGGCGATCAAAGGGTTAACTGTGTGCTGTGTGTGTTTTACTGTGCAAAGCAATACAAAGCTATGCAGAGCAATACAAAGCAGCATGCTGGTGCTGACAGGAGAGAGATCTGTATTGTTTACATACAGACCTTTCCCCTGCCAGTGTTCCTCGGCCATTGCCGGGTTCCGGCAGGGAATCTCTGGCCAGGACCCGGTGATCGAAGGCTGTAGCCACCAATGGCAGCCCACATGTGCGCAAGCACCCCACCCCTACCCAGGAATACAATACATATATCTATGTGATTTTGCACAACCCTGCTGCCATGTAGCAGTAGTTCTGCTATAGAAAGCTCAGGAAGCACTTAACCTAACAGCATGTCTTTGGAGTGTGGGAGAAAAACCCACGCAGGCACAGGGAGAACATGCAAACACCAGGCAGGTTGGGATTTGAACCAATGACCCTAGCACTACCAGGCGGAAGTGCTAACCATTTAGCCAGTGTGGTGCCCTATTCATAAACTGCATACTGTAATTTTTTATGGTGAATTAACCATTTAAGGAAAAATTTACTAAATGCAAATACACTATTCAGTTTGCAAGGGCATTTTCCCCAGAGCTTAGTGAATGAGGGGAAACTCTGCTAACTTTGATCATCCAATCATGTGCAAGCAAAATGCTGTTTTTTATTTTCCTTGCTCATGATTGGGCATGCTTTAAAGTGAAATTTTACCACATTCACCAAGCTCTGGATCAAATTCCCTTACAATGTACAACTTCTCTTAACTGCCTTCGATTGCCTTTAGTAAATCAACCCCGTATTCTCTAAGCAGTGCAAAGTAGTCTCCCTGGCAAGCTGAGAGGTGTCTGCCACAAGAATGGCCAACATTACAAATCCTTTGGTAAGTTGAGTCTTTTACAGGTGAATTTTGCTTTTTTTATGTCATAGATTACCAAATGTTGCCTTTTGTTTCTAAGCATTCAGCCAATGGGAAAATTTGTGCACTCAGCAAACATCAATTCACTTCTATGCAACAAAAACACACTAAAAACCATATCAAACATGCACTCCATGTAAGCACTGAATCTATAGCTGACCCTTACATAGTCCACACCATCTACATGACATTAATATTCTGTTCTTATAAGAGGTCAAATATTTTATAGCATAACTTAAAGCAATTGTAAATGCAGAGAGCAACCCCAAACCTACTTTTCTCTGGTCTCCCAAAGGCACTACTGGCTCCTCCCCTCTACCAAGTGCCTCCCTAGGAAGCCGCTTTTCATGGGGGCACTCATGAGGACTAGCTCCCAAGCCTCACTGTCTGCATCTATTGACACAGTCAGCCGGACTTGGCCCTGACCTCCCTCAGCAAAGCCAGTGAGACCAGGAAAGGAGGAGAGTGAAGAGCTGCAGAGGTGCACAGTGCTGGAATGCATAAAAGTAAAAAAAAGTTTAGGCTTTATAACCACTTTAAAGTTTTTTTTTTATGAGTGTCAACTATTATATGAGCTTACTAGTCAGGTAAACAATGTGAAATCAAAGTAAAATGTTAAGTGTGATTTTGGGATAATTGTTTTACAATTTCAGGACAACCAAAAACGTATAAATTCTAATAAAAAAGATAGATGAACAGATAGATAGTTAGATAGATAGATAGATAGATAGATAGATAGATAGATAGAAAGATAATAGACAGATAGATAGATAGATAGATAGATAGATAGATAGATAGATAGATAGCAAAAACTCCCCCACTTTTTTTCCATATATCTCTGAAAAATCAACTTTCACTTACATTTGAGAGTTGTGCACATTCTGCTTTTATTTTAGATGCTGATAATATGTTTTAAATTGCAGTTATGTTTTTTTTTAATTATTTTTTTTTACGTCCTAATTTATGACACCATTGTTTTTTGGCAAACAATGATAAAGCAAAATAAATGATGCTCACCATAAATTTAGCTTCTTGAGCAGAATTTAAATGTGCCTTATTATTTCCTTCAATCTCACTCTAAAAGCACTTTCTTCTGCAAATAGACTTCTGTAAATACACACTTGCAACTGCATCCAGTTTTAACACAAATAACACTTTATAATCCCTTCTTGCCACCCGCACTTAAAGCAAAGCACAATACACTGTTTTCACGGGCTGCATTTATAAATACCACTTTTACTTTTCGGAAGCATTTAGCTCAAACAACAGTTGTTGTTTCCCATTGAATATGTCTCGCGGTGTGAACTTTGGCCAAAGTATAGGTTTGTAGCAGCTTAAAAAGGAACAGTGAGTCACTAGGAATGTGGTGAAACAGATGCCTATGCTCCCAGAGTTTTCAGTGTGTTAGTGGATGATGCAGGAGAAATTAACCCCTTTTTTATTTTCTGTACAAGCTGGGCTCCCCTACAGCCCCCCGCCAGAAAGCTTTCATTTCTTGTGTTCCTTATTTATTATATGAAATAAGAGTCAAATACAGAAAGCATTACAACATAAACTGCTTTTATACTTTTCTATTTCTTCGCCAAGGTGAAATGGCACGCAGTGGAATTTATATTGCATTATGCAAATATCAAGATACAAGTGATGATATAGTATTATTTATTACAGATGTAAGGAAATATTTGCTTCTTTATGACATTTTAGTGCTTTTTCTTTAGATGACCTTTATTTGAAATTAAAGGGAAAACAATAGCAAACTTTTTTTAAATAAGGGTTTAGTTTCAAGAAGAGTATTCAAACACAGTAATTCTATTATAGATTATCCTTCTCTTGGTTTATGCATATGAAACAATGACTAATGCCATTAAAATAGAAAGAAACGAAGTACAAGGGTGTAGTAGTGCCCCTAGTGGCTATGATAACATCCAAATCCTATAGCTATTTGACTTTCTTATGTGGAACAATTGACTGCACAAAGTCTTAAGAGTCATTTATAAAACACATTGCATTTATTGTGCCACAGCAACAAAATTCCAAATAGAATCTCTTTCTGTGTTCTTTAAAGTGACACTAAATATTACCCTTATTTTTTAAAATGTATCCAAACACTTCCACTACTTAATGGCCCTGTAATCTTTTTTTCATGAAATTGTTTCTTACTATTACAGTTTTTGAGTGCTCCAATTTTAGTAAATCTCCCCCACTGTCTGTCTTACTCTCTAATTCTAGGCTATCATTTTTGTACCCATATACTGTTTCTTAGGAATTCTTGACAAATTTCCAGAACTACAGCTATAGTGGCCAAAGGAGCACCAGCACTAGCAGCCAAGCAGGTCCTGTTGCAGAGCACATTTGCCATTGAGAGGACTGAACAAGCAGAGTGATGATGAATTCAACAATGTCCCACTGTTACATTTTTTGCCCAGTCAGCAGGATGGGCTGTCTTTGACCACTGCCCTGTAGGCTGTAAATCTGGCTGCATTTTATGACAGAGGCGTCTGGATAACAAGACTGGCCTCAGAAAATTACAAATCCGTTGCAGGTAACTTTTCCATCCATGTTTTTCAGCTATGTACGGTATATAGCTTCTTGCCTGGAGTTCAGATTTAAACAATTTCCAAACGCAGTTCAAGTATGAACATTAGAATATACTGGCTGGAATCCCAAGGTGAAGAGTGCTGTATGATATAGTGATAACAAAATGACTTAATATTTCTTTAACCACTTTAAGTCCGGGCACTTTTACCCCCCTCCTGTTCAGGACAATTTTCAGCTTTCAGTGCTGTCACACTTTGAATGACAATTGTGCGGTCATGCAACACTGTACCCATATGAATTTTTTAGCATTTTTTTGAGGCAGATAAAACTTTATTTTGGTGGTATTTATTCACCACTGGGAATTTGTTTTTTGCTATATAAATGAAAAAGTCCCAAAATTTTGAAAACATTTTTTTTCTTATACAATTTTTCAAATAAATAATATTTCTTCATAAATCTTGGCCAAAATGTATTCAGTTATCTTTGTAGTAAAAAAAATAACCCAAATTACTTTATAACCAAAAATTATAATTTTTCAAAAATGTTTTTTAAATTTGTATGTTATTTTTTTATATTATTATTATTTATGGGTTTTTTGTTTTAACATACTGTCACCCTAGCAGTACAGCGTCACTATAGTGACACTGTACTACTTGTGGAGGGTGATGAAGATTTTTTTTCTTTTACACTGATTGCTTTTACACCCATAAAGGCTGTAAAAGCAATAATTTCTCCTTCTCTCTGGTTGCATTCTTGCAGCCATGGAGAAATACCGTGAGAGCTGTGATTGGTCACAGCTTGTCACTTGGTACAAGGCTGTTGTGAATAGCCTTGTACCATGTGACCTCTGTGATCATTCATAGATTTCACAAGTAGTAAGCAATGATGTCAGAAGTGACATCTTGCTTACTACTATTCATGTGATCACTGATTGGCCAATCAGTGATCACATGATCGGGACTTCACACAGAGGTCCTGTACAGCGATCGGTGTTCCCAGGGAGCGCACACAGGCTAAAATGGTGGGCTCCGTTTATGAACGGCAACCCGCCCCTGCACTGCTCCTGTCCGGCCGTTTATATATACCTGGGCCGGATGGGAAGTGGTTAATTCATTCTACTTCAGTCTTTACATTTTTTCATGCCTGCCACTGAAACATTTCTGAAGGTCCAGGTACACGTCAACATAAAGAAGTCACCGCCACTGACAACATACATGGCCAGATTAATTGTGCGTTTAAAAAGAAGGGAAAATCTAATGAATTTATCTGGTTCTATGCAGTTCAGTACCATGCACTCTCAGTTCCCATGAATTTGTAGGCGGTCAAGCATACCTGCTGAGCGACAATGTGGGCTTATCTATGTTTGTTATACATTATAGAAACTAAACCTTTAAGCCATTTCACTGTCAAAGGTAACTTCTCCAAACATCTAAAAATATGCTTTATAAGCCATTTCAAACTTTTATACAATTCAATGAAATAAACCTCTAGTGTCCAGCAGATTAGGTGGGACCCTCAATCACCACTACATGTTTGTATAGAATTGTTTCCCCTAAAGGTAAATGGTGGACACCCTAATCCGAGGTGTGACAAGCTAAAAACACAAATCAGCTGTGTATGGAACATATGTGACCGCAGCAAATATCGTCTGGGGTTTCCCACAAGCTGAAAAGTTGGAAAATTCTCAGGTTGGAAATTTTTGACTGACAAACTAAGATTGTCCATGTTAAAGAAGGAATCCAAGCTAAATGACAAGTAGGACATTCCCATCACACAC